GAAGGAGGTGGTGGGATGGATCGTGGAGTTGGAGTTGACCTAATAAATGGTGACAGAAGAGGGTTTGATTTTGGGTGGTGTGCACACAGTGCAATATACAGATCTTGTATCATAGAAATGTACACTTGAAGCATATATGATCCTATTAACCAATGTCATCCCAATAAACTTAATTTTTAAAAAAATCAATAGAATCCTAATATATAAAGAGCCAGGGTCCGTCATGACTGAAACATCAGGATGGACAACCGAGCACCAGGTTAGGGTCCCGGTTGGTGTGGCCCATGGCAGGAGTCGGTCCTGGGTCCCAGCTGCCCACAATGGGAGTCAATCCTGGGTCCCGGCCACCCATGGCACGGTGGCGGGATGGAGCTGTGGGAACGGAGCCATGCTGCCATTGGACTGGCCTCTGGGTCCCTATCCCTGCCCGCAGGCTCCGGGGAAGCAGAGCCATGCTGCCATCGGACTGGCCTCTTAGTCCTTACGCCCAGCCCGTAGGCTCTGGGCAACCAGAGCCATGCTGTGATGGGACTGGACCCTACCCAAAGGGTCCCGGATTGTGAGAGCTTGCAGGCTGGGCTGAGAGACCCACCCGAGTGCACGAATTTTCATGCACCGGGCCTCTAGTGTATATATACTAGCAATAAACAGTTAAATGTAACTTTAAAGATGCATCTTACCTAATAATAGACAAACATGTAAATTGACCGTGCCTTCGCTACGCTAACCAGCCAATCAGGAGAGTATGCAAATTAACCCAACAAAGATGGCGGTTAATTTGCATATGTAGGCTCCAAGCGGCGGAGCTAAGCCTTACGGCCCCGGGGCTGGAGCAGTGAAGCCTGATGGCTCCAGGGCCGGCTCCAGCTGGAGCCCGGCCAGAGCGAAGGCCTGGGTCCCAGGTGCCAGAGGCAAACTGGTGCCAGCAGCCAAGGGAAGGGAAGGCCTATTGCACGAATCTCTTCGTGCTACAGGCCTCTAGTTTATTATAATAAAACAATTTTAAAATCTAGGAATAAATCTATGAAAAGATCTTCAAGACTTTTTTGTTTAAGATCTGTAAGACTTTATGGGAAATACTAGAGGCCCGGTGCACAAAATTCATGCATTAGTAGGGTCCCTAGACCTGGCTGGTGATCTGGCCAATCAGGGCCTTCTGGCTGCTGGCCAGGGCCTTTTTTCCCTGGCTGCCGGCCGGGGCCTTCCTTCGTTCTGCACCGCCCCGTGGTGGTCATCGCACATCATAGCAAGCGATTGAACTCTCGGTCGAACTCCCAAAGGGACACTTTGCATATTAGCCTTTTATATATATATAGATTGGAAAGCATTAGTAAAGAACATAGGACACTTAGTTACATGGTGATATATCACATTCAGACAAGGAAATACTCAATAGCATAAAAATGTCAATTCTTGCCCTAACCGGTTTGGCTCAGTGGATAGAGCATCAGCCTGCGGTCTGAAGGGTCCCAGGTTCGATTCCGGTCAAGGGCATGTACCTTGGTTGTGGGCACATCCCCAGTAGGGGGTGTGCAGGAGGCAGCTGATTGATGTTTCTCTCTCATTGATCTTTCTAACTCTCTATCCCTCTCCCTTCCTCTCTGTAAAAAATCAATAAAATATATATTTTTAAAAATGTCAATTCTTCTCCAAATTAATAAATTCAGAGTGTAGTTCTGATAGAAATCCCATTAGAGTATAATAGATGTCATTCTCAGTTCACATGGAAAAATAGAAAACCCAGAACATTGAATGTAGTGTACAAGTTGAGGAGCATATGAATTACTGTATTAGTTATTAAGCATTACTACCAAGGTACTATAATTACACAGCATAATATGGGTGCAGGTATGGATAAATAAACCGATGGAACAAAACAGAGAACCCAGAAACTGACCTATGTATATTTGAGAACTTACTATATCGTAAGCATTATGTAGAAATGGTGCTATCAATAAATAGTATCAGGAGTGGACTGACATGTTAGTTATTACCTTGTACCACATACAAAAGTAAAATTCTAGATGGATTGAATATATAAATATGAAAACATTATTTTACCTTTAAAATAATGAAAAGAAAATATAGTAGGATGTTTTAAAATCTGTTAAATTTCTTTATATATAGATACTAGGGGCCCGGTGCACGAAATTCATGCATTGGGGCGTCCCTCAGCCCAGCCTGCCCCCTCTCACAGTCCGGGAGCCCTCAGGGGATGTCCTACTGAGCGGGCCTAAACCGCAGTCTGGCATCCCTCTGCGGGCTGATCAGGGGAAGGCGCCACCCCCATCACCCCGCTGCTGCTGCACTGCCAGCTGCCAAGGTGTTTTCATCAACACAGACTCCAGTCCCTTCACCACAAAAAAATGACAACTTTTTCTAGGCATTTTCAAGATGTCTCTTTCATAGGATATGACATTTCTTTTTTTTTTATCCTCACCTGACAGTATTTTTCCATTGATTTTTAGAGAGTGTGGAAGAGAGAGGGAAAGACAGAGAGAAACATCAATGTGAGAGGGACACTTCGATTGGTTGCCTCCTGCATGAGCCCTGACCTGGGCCCTGGCCAGGGAAGAGCCTGCAATCTAGGTACATGTCCTTGATCAGAATCGAAACCAGACCCTGCGGTCCACAGGCCGAGGCTCTATCCACTGAGCCAAACTGGCTAGGGCAGGATATGACATTTCTCAGCCCCTCCAACAGCGAACCTTCGTTTTTTCCTCCAGGAGTGAGGTAGAAAAACTCTAAATCACCTTCTTGGATTCTTATTACCAAAGTTATCAAGAACACTGCAAGTGGTGTACCAGGAACTTAGCCAATGAGCTGTAAGAAAAGGTGTTTCCTCTGCAGCTCACGCACAGAGGCAGGCCTGCTGGGGCACTGTCTCCTGGCGGCGGTGGCCTGGGCACGCCCCCCTGCCTCTTGGTTCCTGCTCCCAGGGCTGCTGGGGCCAGCAGGCAGTGGCGGCAGCCTGGGCAGGCCCCCCTTCCTCTCCACTCCCGCTTCCGGGCCTGCTGGGGCGCTGTCTTTTGGCGGTGGCGTCTTGGGCACACCCCCCTGTCTCTCTGCTCCCACTCTTCTCACAGCGCAAGCAGTCACCTCCCACCCATCTACACGCACAACCTCCTCCTGATCCTGTCATGACTGGATATATACATATATACATATATATATATGTGTATATATATGTGTATATATATTTAACTCTTCTCACAGCGCAAGCAGTCACCTCCCACCCATCTACACGCACAACCTCCTCCTGATCCTGTCATGACTGGATATATACATATATACATATATATATATGTGTATATATATGTGTATATATATGTATATATATAGATATATAGACATATTCATATACATTACATCCCTGCGTACATGTACAATCCTATATAATAAAAGCCGAATATGCTAAGTATCTGGTCGTCCAGTTGTCCGGTCAACCAATCAAAGTGTAATATGCTAATGATATGCTAAGGCCGCTCAACCACTTGCTATGATGTGCACTGACCACCAGGGGGCAGACACTCCAATCAGTATGTTTGTTTGCTGCTAGGGTCCAGCCGATTCGGACTGAGTGAGACGGGGTGGACACGCCCTGAAGCCCTCCCACGGTCCCTCCCCGGCTGGCCAACCTCCCATGTCCCTGGCCCCAATCATACACCGGTGGGGTCCCTCACCCTGGCCTGCACCCTCGCAATCCGGACTGAAGGCTTCCCCCACTTGAAGGCTTCTTCCACTCCCACCCCCCAAGTGCATGAATTTCATGCACTGGGCCTCTAGTTTCATATAAGTACATAAGTATGGTTATGTACTAATATGTGCTTTTTTCCCCCTCAGTACAATCCTTTTGCAATAGTTTGTGCCCCCATTTTCCTCTCTGTATTCATCTTTCTATCCCCCAACTTCCACTCTAACCCATGTCAACAACACCGTTATGTATCCCTCAATATTTTTTTCATATACTTATTTACAAATAACAGCCTCACAAATAAGATACACATATGCGGGATTTTTGCTTAGTTTGCTTTTCTAGTTAGGATCATATTTTTGTACTTTCCTGCATCTTCTGGATATGACCTTAGGATTAATTAAGATTTCTTAAATTCTGTCACCTCATTTTGCAGTTTTTCTAATTTTGATTTATATTGTTCTTTCATGTCTTCTTCTGTCATTTTCTTCATGTCTTTTAGCTAAATTTGAAGTAGTACATTATAGTTTTTCTCTGCTTCTTTGAACATATTCTTCTAAGGTTCCTTCATTCCCTGTGAGATTGTTACTCTGTCCCTTATTCTCTTTCTTCTTAGAGATATTTTGTATAGGATTTGACTTGGAGAATTTTCTGTTCATTTTAATGTGAATAGCTTCCCTGAACTTTTAACAAAGAGGCTTGGTTCAGATAGTTTTTCTAACTTCATGGAGCTCCCTCTTGTTTTCATGATGGTTTGCTTCTGAGACTTTCAGGCTCCACATATTTTCCCCACTTCTGTCTGGACTTTTTCTTTTTCCCTATTTCCCTTTTTCCCTGTCTTGCTCAATTGTGATTCTACTCACACCAGTTTCTCCTCAAAGTGGGTGATTACGTGGGGCCATGAAAAAAGCCTATTTTTTTCTAGTGAAGACTTCCTTTCTCCCATAGAATAAATGTGTTCATTTTTTTAAAGAAACTTAATTGCCTTTATGTATAAAATATACTTACTTTTTCACTAACTAGTACAAACAGCCCTTGACTTACACAAGAGCACTGTTCTCAAAAATTTTACATAAGTTTTTTAATAGAGTGGAATCACTTCACAAGAGATCATTTAATCCGGGAGTACTATTTAAACAGTATATATGGTAGAGATAATTTATGAACATTCCTCATAAAAATATTCTTCTGAATACTGCCAAAGGCTTCAGTTTTTAAAGTAACTTTTCTAGTTGTATGGAGTCTTTGTTTAATGGGATAACATGCATTCCTTTTATATAAGAATGAGATTTTCTTTGTCTTACAGAAAAGAAAACGAAGAGCAAAAGATGATGATGTCGTAAGCCTTAGCAGCCTTGATCTGAAGGTAAGCCTTACTGCTCTGTCAAAAAAAAGCATTTAACAGTATGCAGGTAGCATTTATTTCTATGCTATAATAACAATAAATGCTTTTTTTGCATTTTTTAAGTATTAAATTAAATGATATTGGCTCTTATAGATACTAGTAGCCTCTTTTTTGTGTTCTACTTTATTAAGAATGAGAAGACCTCCCTCAGAACAATGTTAGGTTATAACTGGTGGTAACAAATTCAAATGTCTAAGGAGACTAGCCTATAATATATGCAGAGAAAGGAAGTAGGATAGGGACTGTTGAAAGGAGAGTGCCATACCCTTCCTGAAAGAGGAAGCTGCTACTGTGCTCTAGCCCATTGCTGCATGTACAACTATCAAATTTGGATTTTATGTGAAATCTTCTGAATTTTAAAAATTGGATCAAATTTTTTCTAAAAAAAAACATATAAGCCAAATAACTCATCTACAAATCAGATGCTATCCATGAGTTCTCAGTGTATGACCTATGAAAAACTAAAGCTCAGTGCATACTTGAAAATAATTATGTCCTTTGGTGTAAAATTGTAGTTAAGTCCAAAAGCTTGGTATCTTTAGAATTATTTATTACATTTTTATCATTTGGCAAATTTTATCAAGCTATCTTGGTTTTAAGGAACCTTTTTTTATTTTATTTTTTTGTTAATCCTCCCCTGTGGGTATTTTTTCCATTAATTTTTAGAGAGAAGTGGAAGGGATGGGGGGAGAGAGAGAGGAACATTGATTTGAGAGAGACACATCTATTGGCAGCCTCCTTCATGCACCCTGACCAGGGCCGGGCATCCAGCCTACAACTGAGGTAGGTGCCTTTGACCAGAATCCAACCCGCAACTTTTCAGTCCATGGGCCAATGCTCTAACCACTGAACGAACCAGCCAGGGCTAAGGAACCTTTTTTAAAGATCATTATGAAAAAGGTATACATTTTTAGTGAGATTTTAAAAAATAGTTTGACATTGTGTTCAATGATAGCAGTTGCTTTTTAAAGACAAAGTATTTTCTAAAACTTAAATTTGTATAGGTCTGCCCATTAACATTTCAGCAAATCTAGCAAGTTGGTGTGAGTGCATGTGTGCATGCGTGCGTGTGTTTGTGCACGTGCACACACACATACACATAATGTTATAGAATTGTGTGTTTTTGCAAAACAGCTTCAATTACATTTTTAAATCTTGTACTCAAAGAAAGAAGTATGAAATGGCAATCCTGGGTATTTTTAGGTATGCCCTAGACGTATCATTTCATCTGTATTATCAGATTCAGTGCCCATACTTTCCTTGATTGTCTTTTTTTTTTTTTTTTTTTTTTTTTCAGTTGATCAGCATGGTTAGGTTCTCTTCTCTTTCCTCCTTGATTGTCTTATACAATTTTTTGTTTTGTTTTGTTTCATTTTGTCTGTTTGAATTTCAATTCATGTAAGGCCCATACATTGTGATTGATTATATCTCTTAAGTATCTTTTAAACTGTAGGTTTCCTCTCTAACTCTTTGTTTTCTTGTCATTTTGTTGTTGTTGAAGGAACCATGTTCTTTTCCTGTAGAACTTTCCATAGCCTGAATATTCATGATTGCATCCCCCTGGTATCATTTCCTATGTTCCTCTATTTCTTGTACTTATGATAAATTGGTAGTTAGATGTAGAAGTTGTTTGTTTTGGGCTGTGTACTTCCTTCAGAGGGTATATCATGTCTCTTTGTGATGTTTTCAAAATTAATTATTATTGCTTAGATCAGTTTATTTATTGGAGGTTGCAATATTATAATATTGTGCCTTTATCAGTCCTCAGTTTATTATCTGGAATATTTCTGTAAAGAGAAAATTCCCTTTATCAACCATTTGGTCACTTCAAGGTACTGATCTATATTAATAATACAGGCATATGCAAATTGTCCAGGATGCCATCACAGTAACAGTAACAACCAGCAGGCTGCCTGGGGCGAGAAGGCCGGCAGGAGGGTTAGTGAGGGATGACCAAACGACTAAACAGCAGGCTGCATGGGGCAACCAGGCCAGTGGGGAGGTCAGTTGGAGGCAACCAGGCCAGCAGGGGGGCAGTTGGGGGCGACCAGACCAGCAGAGGGGGGCAGTAAGGGGCGACCAGGCTGGCAGAAAGGGGGCAGTTGGGGGCAACTTGGCCAGCAAAGGGGGCAGTAAGGGGTGACCAGGCTAGTGGGGGGAGGAAGTTAGGGGCAACCAGGCTGGCAGAGGGGGGCAGTTGGCGACCAGGCTGGCAGGGGGGGCAGTTAGGGGCAATCAATTTGGCAGGCAGAGGCAGTTAGGTGTGATCAGGCTGGCAGGCGGGGCAGTTAGGGGCGATCAGGCAGGCAGGCAGGTGAGCAGTTAGGAGCCAGCAGTCCTGGATTGTGAGAGGGATGTTCGACTGCCGGGGATCGGGCCTAAACCGACAGTGCGACATCCCCTGAGGGGTCCCAGATTGGAGGGTGCAGGCTGGGCTGAGGGGAGCCCACCCCCGTGCACAAATTTCATGCACTGGGCCTCTAGTTTATAATAAAGGCAGGACAAGTGCTTGATTCCTTTCCCTTACCACGTTTCAAAAATAATGAGTTTTAGTCATTCATATTCTTTAAAAGTAACTGATTTTTTCTTTATAATATTATATGAAATCATGGATGTGAACATATTTGTTGTATTTTGACCCATTTTTATTATTACTCTCAGTATTCTCAAATTATCCCTTCTTTGGTCACTAGAGGCTACCTCATGATGGCTCCTGTGTCCTTCTCCCTCCACCGCCTCCCCCAGCTTTATTAAGATATTAGAGGCCCGGTGCACGAAGATTCGTGCAAGAATGGGCCTTCCTTCCCCTGGATGCTGGCACCGCCTTTGCTCCGGCCAGAGCCACCTTTCTGCCTTTGTTCAGGCCCAGAGCCACTTTTCCGCCTTCCCACGCTGCCCAGAGACCCGGATCCGCCTTTCTGCCTTCGTTCCGGCCTAGAGCCGCCTTTCCGCCTTCCCACACTGCCCAGAGGCCGGGAGCGGCCGGGACAGTGCGGAATGCCTGCGTCGTCACCATGGCGATGACACAAGTGTCCTGCCCCACCCCCTGGCCGCTTGGCGCCTGCCTATGCAAGTTAACCCGCCATCTTTGTTCGGTTGATTTGCATACTCACTCCTGATTGGCTGGTGGGTGTTGCAAAGGTATGGTCAATTTGCATCTTTCTCTTTTATTAGTGTAGATTCTTGACATGTAACATGGTGTAAATTTAAGGTGTATAATGTGTTGAGTTCCCATATCCTTTTGACATATCTAGAGGCTTAATAACCTCCTTTTCTTCCTGATTGACAAGTTATTCCAGGTTCTAGGACAGCAGTCTGTATTACTACAAATTAATACAAATGATATGATTACTGAAAACATTTTATGTTTTATTTTTCAGGGTTTTTTTGGTGCCTTTTTTTTTTATTCCACACCTGTAGTTGATCATTTTTAAAAGTTCTAATTTCCTTGGGAAATGGTAGAGGTTAAAATCTGGGCATTATGAACTACTTGCTACTGGATTGATCGTTGATTCTAGGCCTTTTTAATGACAGAGCTAGGAAATATATATAATCTTTCAGATAAAATTATGAGTTTATGTTGATATTTTAAATTCAAGGCTAAAGATTTTTGCTTAATCTCATCAATTTTATTGATCTCTTTTAAATGCACTGAAAATCTTGGTTTTGGGAATACTGACATAATTACTTATTTGATTTACCCATGGTTCTAGGACAACAGTGTACATTACTAAAAATTACTATAAATGATACAGTTACTGAAAACCTTTTATGTTTTATTTTTCAGGGGTTGTTTTTGTTTATTTGTTTTGACACACAGACTATATATAGTAAGGATGTGAAAATCCCTGTTTTTAAATTACTGAACTAGTTCTTTTCTATGTGTATAATGGCAGTAACTCACTGCCATTATGAGTGACAGCACACAAAATTTTGTGTTGGCCCTTTAAGACGGTGTCTGCATTTCCAGCTGTCTCCCAGGTAGACAGTAACCCTGCTGCTTTTCACAGCCAGATGTTATGTGGGCACTGTTCTCAGTTCTGGTGCTCTGGGCAGGGGAGCCCAGATTGGAATTTAGATCCCAGAGTTCTCTGTGCAAGCCCAGCCAATCTTTTCATGCCTTCAGCACTTCCTACCAGTCTCTATGTGGTCTCCACTTTTCGTCCTTGGTTATCAGGGTTCTTTCCAGCTAGTCTTCAGTTGGTTTTTCAGGGTGGTTTTTCTGTATTTTAGTTGTATTTTCAGTTTGGTCCTGGGAGAGTGTCAGTGTAGCTTCCACTTACTCCGCTGCCATTTTGGCATTTCTAAAGTATTTACTTCTTGCTTTGACAAAAATATGAAAATATAGCACACTGACTGACTCCTCTTTAGGAAAAAAAGTGTTATATGTACAGCTATGGAGAGTTACAGTCCTCCTTTACATACAAAGGAAAATATTTATTAAACAAGTGCTTCATTGATCAAAAAAGGGCTAAGAGCTACAAGCATTTATTCCCAGTGTACATCAGACCCAAGAAACCCAGATCATAACCTCTTGGCACCTGTCACTAAGAAATGCACAGTCTTTATTTAGACTGACTTCTTCCTATCTGCATGGGAAAACCACACAAAGTGCAGAGGACTACACATTGGGAATTCGGACACGTGTTCAGATGCTCTTGGCTTTGCCTAGACTGGTTGCTCCATAGAAAGCTTCTGGGCCACATCTTCACCACACCCAGGCACAGATAGGAGCCATCTTCCTGAGACAGAACTTGTCTTTGACCGGAGAACTGCTTCCAGAAAGGGTTAGAAGAGTTCCCTGGTTTCATCCCCACCACTCACCACAATCTATTTAGCAGTTGTTTTTTTTTTTAATGAATCTTTTTTTAAATTATATTTTTATTGATTTCAGAGAGGAGAGAGAGAAGAAACATCAATGATGAGAGAGACTCATTGATCAGCTGCCTCCTGCATGCCCCACACTGGGGATCGAGCCCACGGCCCAGGCATGTGCCCTTGACTGGAATCAAACCTGGGACCCTTCAGTCCGCAGGCCGACGCTCTATCCACTGAGCCAAACCAGCTAGGGCTTGTCTTGTTTTTTTTGTTGTTTTTTTTTAATTAAATCTTTATTGTTCAGTTTATTACATTTGTTCCTCTTTTTTCCCCCCATAACTCCCCTCCTCTCAGTTCCCGCCCCACCCTCCGCCCTCACTCCCCACCCACTGTCCTCATCCATAGGTGCACGATTTTTGTCCAGTCTCTTCCCGCATCTCCCACTCCCCTTTCCCCCCCAAGAATAGTCAGTCCATTCCCTTTCTATGTCCCTGATTCATTATAATCACCAGTTCATTCTGTACATCAGATTATTTATTCACTTGATTCTTAGATTCACTTGTTGATAGATGCATGTTTGTTGTTCACAATTTGTATCTTTACCTTTTTCTTCTTCCTCCTCTTAAAGGATACCTTTCAGCATTTCGTATAATACTGGTTTAGTGGTGATGAACTCCTTTAGCTTTTCCTTATCTGTGAAGCTCTTTATCTGACCTTCAATTCTGAATGATAGCTTTGCTGGATAAAGTAATCTTGGTTGTAGGTTCTTGCTATTCATCACTTTGAATATTTCTTGCCACTCCCTTCTGGCCTGCAAAGTTTCTGTTGAGAAATCAGCTGACAGTCGTATGGGTATTCCCTTGTAGGTAATTGAGTCTCTTTCTCTTGCTGCTTTTAAGATTCTCTCTTTGTCTTTTGCTCTTGGCATTTTAATTATGATGTGTCTTGGTGTGGTCCTCTTTGGATTCCTTTTGTTTGGGGTTCTCTGCGCTTCTTGGACCTGTAAGTCCATTTCTTTCACCAGGTGGGGGAAGTTTTCTGCCATTATTTCTTCAAATAGGTTTTCAATATCTTGCTGTCTCTCATCTTCTGGCACCCCAATTATTCTGATGTTTGTACGCTTGAAGCTGTCCCAGAGGCTCCTTACACTATCTTCGTATTTTCGGATTCTTTTTTCATTTTGCTTTTCCGGTTGGGTGTTTTTTGCTTCTTCGCATTTCAAATCTTTGACTTGATTCTTGCGCTCCTCTGGTCTGCTATTGGGTGTAATATTCTTTATTTCCGACCGTGTATGCTTAATTTCTAGTTGTTTCTTTATCATAGCATCGAGGGTCTCATTAGTTTTCGTGAGGCTCTCCAAAAGTTTATTGCAAGCCCTCAAAATTGCGTTTTTTAGCTCTATATCCTCCATTTCTGTCATGTTTTTTTGTCTCCGCATTTTTTATGCTTTCTTGGTGCACCCCCTAGTGGTCTTTGTGCGCAGTCTTGTTCTAGTTGAGCCTTGATTGTTGTAGTTAATACTAGAGGGATTTGACCACCAGGCCGACTGGCTGTGTGAATCAGCTGTGTCTGCCGCGGAAAACTTCTGTCCTCTGGGGAGGTGCTAATCTAGCCTTTGCCTGAGGCGATCTGGCAAATGGCTCTGCGCAGGGCTTGGGCGGGGCGGGATCAACAGGGCAGGGCGGGCGGAGGGAGCGGTTATGGCCCCTCTCAGTCCCGTTCCCAGAGGCTCTGCTTCTCAGAACCCCAGGAACCGCTGCAAACCTCGGAGGGAAAGCTGCCTTCCAACTGATGCCAGACACTCCCGCTTCTCCCGTTTGAGTCCCCAGCGATTCGCCCGTATCTGGAGCTCAGAGTCTGAGACTCCCCCCTGACTCCACATGCACTCCGCACCTTAGTATTTCACTTCAGCACTGCGCCTCCTCTGAGTCTCGTATGGTTTCCTCTTTCCTCCTAGTTGTAGAACTTCCACTCAGCCAGCCTTCCTGTGGTTCTGGATGATGTCCGTTCCGTCTTTTAGTTGTATTTTTGAAGTGGTTGTTTGAGGCAGCAAGCTCCGGCGTTAACCTATGCCGCCATCTTGGTTCTCGGGCTTGTCTTTATTTAGCAGCTTTTAACAGAGCCAAGCATGGCCCTACACCTGAGAGGGAAGGCAGGCACAAAACCTGGATGCCAACCAAGATAACAAAGCACAAACCTAAACTATCCACCCCTCCCCCAGACCCACCTCCACCACAGATATTCTTGATTTAAGGCTGTTTTGGGACCACATCAAAGCTTACTGAGGGAAAGTGCCCTTGAATTGCCTACAGCTATGTCACTTCTCTGAGGACTGCAGAGTCACCAGGTGGGCCCTCACTGCTGCCCAGCAGCACAGGAGCAGGGCAGGAGGACTGCTGCCCCAAAGGAAGAAGAAGGAAGGCTGATTATATGGGACATGTCCCCTTTCCAGAATCTTGCACTCTAAGAGGCTGATTCTATCTCTTAAGGGAAAGGTCCATGATTTGTTTGTTTGTTTTGGGAATGGGGAATTTTTGGAACCCTGAGTCTGGATTTCCCTGTGCTAGCCAAGGACAAGAGATTATCTGGGGGACCAGGCCCCAGAAGGGGCTTTCAGGTGCCGTGGCTCAGAGCAGGCTTTGGCCTTGGCCACAGCAATAGGACTCTGACCAGTCTGCACTTTCATGCCTGAAGGTGGGAGGCCTGGGAAGCACTACACAGCCTGATGGAGAGGCAAACCCATGACAGTGAAGGGAGCCTTAGACAATCTGGAGCAAATTATAAATAGGATCCCCTGGGAGAGAACATGCTGGCCACCCATCCCCAGCTTCTCCCTCTCACTTGCCTCAGAAGAACATACCTTCCTTCCCAAAGTAGAGGCCCTTTTACTATAATCCATTTACTGTGCCCCTCCCTCCTTCCATATGTCAATTCCATTTGTCTG